TTCTTTTGTTGTCCTACCCTGTCAATATGAAAATGTATACAATTGTTAGTATTTGTTTGAATTTAAATGTTTAAGTTATGACTGTTATTAAGATTTGAGATATTATTAGTATTTTTTTTAATTTAAATGTTTATGGTTTTACTTGCATTTAAATATTTAGTATATATAAAATTAGAACTTAGATTGTTTAGAAGTAATTAAACTAAAATATATATTTTTTTTAACTGTTCGCTTTGCTTCGGTAAAGCGTGTCGCTTCGCTTCTCGCTTCTCGCCTAGGCGTTAGGAGCCTTGCTCGCTTCGGTTCGCTTTACGCCTTAAATAACACTGATCTAGTGTACCTATGGTGTTATGACATTTAGTGATTTAGGTGTTTGTCACTTTCCTAGGAATGTATCAGGTGATGGGTTTGATTTTGCTGTTATGTATATGATTTTTTTTGAGTAGTTCTCTATTGATGTTCGTGTACCGAAAGTGTCACAAGATCTTCTCTCATACCCTTGATTTAGGTGTGATCTCATTTCATAGGAATGTGTTAGGATGTTTCCATTTAGATATGGTTACTTATTGTGATGTGAATTAGAAGTCAGAACATTCAATTAGTGTAAAATAATGTTGCACCTATTCCATTCCCTGTTGTAAGGGAGTTGGGGAAAGGCTATGTTTCTATTGCAGCTGCTATAGATTCCAGGTGGTATGTTTTGATTTTTGCTGCCCTTCCTTTTTTAGCTGTTGTTTCTCATTTCTTATTTCTGCATGTCATGCTGTTTTGTAGGGGATATGCTTATAGTATGGTTGAATAAATGCAAGGCTACACCGAGGTACCGACAATTGGTTCCGTTATATGCTTTTGTCGCGGGAATGGTACAATGGTTCTTGCTTTTGTAGATCCCATGTTGTTTTCTTTTGTTTGTGCTGTTGTCCAGTGNGTTTTTTTTTTTTTTTTGGTGTATATTTATTCCTTTTTCTTAGTGTGTCGTTGTGGCTTCTTTCTTTTTTCGGTTTGTAGTGCATTACAACTGAATCACATTATGGGAAGATGTGTTTGGATCATGGTGTCGATGATTGGTTTGCTTTGCTACTATGAATATTTTTTTTTATGATTTTTTTTGTCCATGGTTGTTATTTGGTGTACCAGAAGTGTCGGATGTTCTTATTGCTATGATTCATGTGTGATCCATTGGTGAAGAATCTGTTGGGTCTTTCTATTTATTTATGGCTAATTTTGGTAAAATTGAATATATTTATTTTTGCTTTGTTGGTTAATGGGGATTTCATCTTGTTGCTTGAAGTCTACTATAAAGATTGTATGGACTGTTGTCGTGTCTACCATTTTCTATATAGCAAGGTATGCTTTTGAAGTAGCTGATGTAGATTCAACCTTAAACTATGACCACTTTTCCTGCCTTCCTCTGTTTTGCTAACCAGAATTTTCCTGTCTGTCAATTTTGCTAGCTGATCCTGTTCTTGATTTTTGTGTGGTGAATTATTTTCTAGTGGATCTCGTTATTGTAATCGCAAAGCAGGACAAATGCAAGACTATTGGTGCACCTGTGCCAGATACAGTTTTGTACTTTGGATCTGTCAGCATGTGTCTTGTTCTTCCTTTTTTATAATTGTGCTAGACTATGTTGTTGGTTGTCTTTAGGTCCTTTGGTTTCCAATCTCCATCACATGAGCGAAAGTGGTTCCTTTTCAATATTTTTTCCTACTTCTTACTACCTTTTTCTCTAGCATGTTGCTGGTATTGGATTGTGTTCCTGTGATTGGTTTGCTGGTTCGCTCTTGCTATTATGGGTTTTTTTAGAAATTTATGTCAAAATTGATTTATCTAGTGCAGTGTTTTGAAAAGCTCGCCTAGGCGCTCGCCTAGGCGAGAAGCGAGGCGAGGCGAGCTTATCTCGCCTGGAGGACCCCAGGCGAAGCGAACGTGAGTGAAGCGAGAAAAAAGCGAGAAAAAGCGAAAAAGCGAAGAAGCGAAAAAAGCGAAAAAACGAACGCTTTATTATAAAAAGCGATTCTGCTTCACTTTTTTTTTTTTTTTTTCTGATTACAGGTTAGTAGTCTCTTTTATTTTTTAATCACTAATGACTTTTTTTTTAGACTATTGCTGGTCTTTTTTTTTTTTTTTTTTCTAATAAACAATGTTTCGAAAAAAACACATTCATTTTTTTTTTTGTGTTGCTGAATTCATTTAGAATATTTGTGGGATGTGGGAGTCAGGCGACTACACTGCATGACAATTATGATAAAAAAATAAAGCAGGAGTATCAGAAATGGGGGTAAATAATAGATTCTTCTACAAAGAAGTGTCTCTGATATGTCTTGGTTATACTTTTTCCTATTCTTATATATATACAAATGGTACCAAAAAGTGGTCTATGCTTATACCATGTTTAATTATTTTAGTACATGTGAAATGTGCCTCTGTTCTGCTTTTTTTTATTCAGTATATAATTACATATGAAATTGTTTACAATTGATTCTGCTCCTGTCATGATCATTGTGCTTCTGTTTTTTTTTTAGCTCATTCTGCTTCTATTTTTTTTTTTTTGATTCTGTTGCTGCTTCGATTTTGCTGTCCTGTGTTGCTTTTGTTTTTTTTAATTGTCATTCTGCTTCTTTTTTTTTTTTTTGCTAATTCTGCTGTTGTCCTGATTCTGCTTCTTTTGTTGTCCTACCCTGTCAATATGAAAATGTATACAATTGTTAGTATTTGTTTGAATTTAAATGTTTAAGTTATGACTGTTATTAAGATTTGAGATATTATTAGTGTTTGTTTTAATTTAAATGTTTATGGTTTTACTTGCATTTAAATATTTAGTATATATAAAATTAGAACTTAGATTGTTTAGAAGTAATTAAACTAAAATATATATTTTTTTTAACTGTTCGCTTTGCTTCGGTAAAGCGTGTCGCTTCGCTTCTCGCTTCTCGCCTAGGCGTTAGGAGCCTTGCTCGCTTCGGTTCGCTTTACGCCTTAAATAACACTGATCTAGTGTACCTATGGTGTTATGACATTTAGTGATTTAGGTGTTTGTCACTTTCCTAGGAATGTATCAGGTGATGGGTTTGATTTTGCTGTTATGTATATGATTTTTTTTGAGTAGTTCTCTATTGATGTTCGTGTACCGAAAGTGTCACAAGATCTTCTCTCATACCCTTGATTTAGGTGTGATCTCATTTCATAGGAATGTGTTAGGATGTTTCCATTTAGATATGGTTACTTATTGTGATGTGAATTAGAAGTCAGAACATTCAATTAGTGTAAAATAATGTTGCACCTATTCCATTCCCTGTTGTAAGGGAGTTGGGGAAAGGCTATGTTTCTATTGCAGCTGCTATAGATTCCAGGTGGTATGTTTTGATTTTTGCTGCCCTTCCTTTTTTAGCTGTTGTTTCTCATTTCTTATTTCTGCATGTCATGCTGTTTTGTAGGGGATATGCTTATAGTATGGTTGAATAAATGCAAGGCTACACCGAGGTACCGACAATTGGTTCCGTTATATGCTTTTGTCGCGGGAATGGTACAATGGTTCTTGCTTTTGTAGATCCCATGTTGTTTTCTTTTGTTTGTGCTGTTGTCCAGTGTAGTGGACTCTTCCTCTTCCAAAATCCGCTACCACAACAAATAAAGATAAAAAGAAGTTTGCCATTTGTCACGACGATTTTCCTTTTTCTTTTCTTTCTCTCTTTCTTTTGTGGGGACGATTATCCTTTTTCTTCTCTTTCTCTTTCTTTTGTGGGGTGTTATCATGTCACACTCCCTCACTCCTCTTCCCCCCCAAAAAAAAAAGCACACTTCACGTGGATGAAATATGGCATATCTTTTGTACCGTTGAGTCAGGATTTCGTTTGTTTTTGCTATTAAGAATATGATATCCTTATGATAACTCTAACACGAGAAGTGGCCTATTCTCTCAAATACTCATGGTTCACGTGGCATCTTGTTGTTTTCTAAGGTTGGATCCATTCAGTTGATGCTGTGATTTTTGGAGGATTGAAGATGCTTCCAATCAGACTGAACTGAATCCTCTAACAAAAATTGTTTTTCTGGGTTTTTTTATTTAACTTTCTTGCGAGATGCTGAATACTTCAGCAAGTGAAGTTCCTACTGGGATGGTGTTCTCCTCTTTGTTTTTTTTTTTGTAATGAACTTTATTCAGTACGAGAAGAATGGCCTATTCTCTCCGATACTCATTATTCAGCAGGCATCTTTTTGGTTTTTTTAGGTTGGACCCATACTGTTGACGCTGGTATTTTTGGAGGACTGGAGATGATTCTAATCATGAATAGACTTATTGTTTATTCACTTTCTTGTCTCCTTATTTTCAGAATGAACTAAATCCTCTAACAAAAAATTATTTTTCTCGCTTTTTTTTTTCCTAACTTTCTTACGAGATACAAATAGTCTTGCAAGGGAAGTCCTTGATGGTATGGTGTTTTCTTCATTTTTTTTTTTTGTAATCAACTTTATTCAATGTGTGAGAAGTGGCTATTCTCTCAGATACTCATGAGTCATGATTCAGGTGGCATCTTGTTGGTTTTCATAGGTCGGTGTTGTGTAGTTGACATTGGAATTTTTGAAGGCCTGAAGATGCTTCTATCCGAGTAGCCTCTTTTTTTTTCCACTTTCTTCTTGTCTCCCATTTTCCTTGGTTTTTTTTGTTTCAACTTTCTTGAGAGATACCAATTTTCTAGCAAGTGAAGTTCCTGTTGGTATGGTGTTCTCTTTGTTATTTTTTTGATGATTTGATTACATTCTTGGCCTGAGGTTTGCTTGCTTCAGTTATTTTGATTGATCACCAGCATTGAGCTTTGTGCATGGCATTTCTGGGAATCTCGTTTGGTTGTTTTTGGTGTTCACGTTAGTTTGGATTGGTTGCTTTCACGGTTGCTTCTTGCAAATTCAGGTTATTTTGGCACACTGATCTTTTCATGAATTTGGCTACAAGGAGAGTAAGTCTGTTATACAGTGTTGAGACCTATGATCCTGCTATAGATTGTTAAATGTTGTGATGCTGCTTCTGGAAATTAAACATGCTACACTATTATAATCCTCCTCGATTGCTGCTGGTTTTTTTACTTTCTTGTGAGATACTAAAACGTTAGAAGTGAAGTTCTTGCGGTATGGTGTGCTCTTCGTCATTGTTCTTTTTGTGATTTGATAATATCCCTGGTTTGATGCATCTTTATTCTTACTATGAAAACCAGTTAGTGTTCTCCGTCTTAGAAGAGGCCTTGAAAGTTTTGCTGGATTGGTTGTTTGCTGTGAGCTATTAGTTTATGGCAATGCATTTATATGGATGTTGTATGTATTTTTGTTGTTCTATAGGGATTCCCTTGCTGCTGTCCCTACTTATTTATACCAGAAAAGCAAAGAATAGGCACGGGGAGCCAATTTAGGTGTTTATTCCCCTTGCGACTTCCTGCCGTGCTCCAAATACCCTGTTCTCATCACTCTTTTCCCGTTGTATAGTGTGGTGTGGCTGTTCTCTATTTTGGTTGTTTGCAGCTTGAGGTTCTACAGTTAGGTTGAGTTATTGATAAATGTGTTGGGAATCTTTGGATTGTTGGGCTTATTATTCACTTTTGCTATTATGAATATGATTTTTGAGGATTTATTTCTGCATTCATTCTATTTAATGTACCAGAAGCATCATATTTCTATATTATAGGTGTGTGGTTCAGGTGTGATTTCATTGCAGCGGAACAGGTCAGGTGTTCCTTTTTAGTTCTTGGTACTTGAAGTGGAAGAATTAAAAATCTTTCTTTTTTGGTTGGGCATTCTGTTCAGCGTTGTTACAAGAGTGTCTGCTCCCATTCTTATTGCAGGAATGTAGGGGGAAGGCGGCCATGCTTTTGGAGGAGCTGCTGCAGATTCAACTGGTGCACACGTCTAATTTTCTGGCCTTGGCCTTTCTCTTTTTCCAGACCCTATCTTTTCCTATATATTGGTCTATTGGCTATCTTTTGCCGGTTCTTAATTTTTGTGTTGTGTGTTGGACTATAAGTGATCTAGTTGGTGCGAGGCAGAACAAATGCAAGGGAATGTTGGTGCACGTGTGGTTGGTCCAGCTATGTACTTGGGCTTTGTCTTGGGAATGGTACTTTCTTGATTTTGTGTTTTCTTAGGTTATATTTTTGGCTTCCTTGTTTTTGTCGGTTTTTATTTCCTCTCCCTCTGTCCACAACATAAAGAAGACCGAAAGAAATAGTTTCACCCTTAGTGACATGGTTTTTTCTATTTCCTTCTTTTCTTTCCCATGGTGGTGTTGTGGTGGTTCTCTATTCTGATTTTCTGCAGAGCACTGCAATTGGATTGAGCTAATCCTTTGGATCTTGGAGTCGGCGATTGCTTAAACCATATTTGGTATTGATAAATGACTATTTAACCTATTGCACATATTTTTTATACCTATGGTTCAGGTGTTATCATTTAACCTATTGCACATATTTTTTATACCTGCGGTTCAGGTGTTAACTTGTTGCGGTGAAATCGGGCAAGTGGTTTCCATGTAGGCATGGTTACTTTTGGCACTTAGATTGAAAATATCAAAATCTTTCTGTTTCTGTCATGGGATTTGGTTCAGCTTTGTAGCTCGAATTCTACTATAGTGATTAAATGAACTGGTGTGGGTTCTGTTGCCTTTGCTATTGTGGGAATGTTGGGGAAGAAAATGCTTTTGGAGTGATTACTGCAGATTGAACCTGCATTTTTCATGCTAATTTGTTAGCTGTTGTTTCCTAATTCTTGATTTTTTCGTGGAGGTTAAAGGCTGAAAACGTGTAATACATTGCATGTTTTTACTTTGGGACAGTGGATCCCCCATTTCAACTCCCCAATGCCATCCCGCAAGATACCTCTTCCACAACATATAAACAGTAAAAAAAAAGTAGGTTTGCCCTTTCTGGCTAGGTTTTTTTTTTTGTC